TATGTATTAGGGGTGTAACGGTACATAACCATAATGGTTCGGTACGTACCTAGATTTTGACGTTACGGTTCATTATGGTTTCGGTACAGCAGGAGGAAAAAACTAAATATAAATTGATTTTTTTTTTGTAAAAAAATGTTTCAGTAAAAATGGTTTACTGAACATATTGCTCTTTCTTTCAATAAATTCAGTTATAATTAAAATGTAAAAATCTACCTCAGCTTCTGCTCTAAACTAAAGGGGAGCCCTTTTTCATTACTATACAGTGTTGTGAAAAGGTTTTTGCCCCCTTCCTGTGGTTTTTTTATTTATTTTTTGAATATTTCGGGGGCAATTACTTTTTTCACGTAGGGCCAGGTAGGTTTGGACAGCTTTTTTCCCTTAATAAATGAAGTCATCATTTAAAAACTGCATTTTGTATTTACTTGCATTATCTTTCTGTAATATAAAAATTTGTTTGATGATCTGAATCTTTCAAGTGTGAGAAACATACAAAAAATTTAAAAATAAAATAAAGGAAGGGGGCAAAAACTTTTTCACAGCACTGTAAGTTTACAATTAACAACAGAGCCCTTATAACTTATAATAATCAACACTCAAATAAAAAAAAAATAAAAAAAATTGTATGCAAACATATAAATTATTTTTAAATTAACTTCTAAATTATACAAGTCATAACTAAGTCATAACTATACAAGTCATTTAAATATTTATTTAAACATATAGTAGGGCAGGAAGAATAGGTTCCCATGCACCCGCTTGGCAGTTTTTTGTAACCCTAATGGTGTCTAGTTAAGAATTTTTGTTGTTGCCGAAGTCAACTAATGTTCCATGGGGTTCGTTTGGCGGCCATCTTGAAATTATATCATCGCGAGTGGCGAAAAACACATTTTGATAACTCCTGAACCGTACAACATACAAACACAAATTAACCCACTTTTTCATATAATTCTGACACCAGGAATCAAATGGAAAGGTCATTGTGAAATGTGTTTTTCGCCACTTGCAATGATATAATTTCAAGATGGCCGCCAAAAGAACCCTGTGACGAGTGGGGCGGGGCCAAGAGCTGTGGGAATGAAGCGTGGCCAGTGGAGTGAATGATAATGAGCGACACCTGCGCCACTCACTGGTCTCGAGTCCCACGGAGGAGCTCCGGAAAGATAAAAGGAGGAGTGACGACAGTGCAAGACGAGAGAGGACCAGGCCTGGATTGTATGTTGTTTTGTTTGTGCTCGGCAGTCGTCCGTGAGGGGCTGTCGCGCTATTTAAAGTTTTGTGTTTATTTTATTATTAAAATTGTTTAAATGTTTGCCAGTTCCCGCCTCCTTCTTCCCCGAAATACGAACTTTGTTACAAACCCCATGGGACATTAGTTGACATTAGTTGACCTCGGCAACATCAACAATTCTTAACTAGACACCATTAGGGTTACAAAAAAAACAGGTTACAAAAAACTGCCAAGCGGGTGCATGGGAACCTATTCTTCCTGCCATACTAATATACATTAAATAATTAAAACATCACTAACATGTAAAGTAAATATCATGAATTATAGTCTAATATTTCGCAAAATGTTCTTCAATAAACTTCATTTCTCTAGCAAATAACGAGCTGTAAACACTTTGACTTGCTCGAGGTAAATGAAATGCTATTTTATTGACATCTTTCTGCGGTTGATACACTAATTGAGCGATTACGTGAGGGGTGAGATGTTCATTCATGTATATTTCGCATTTAAACTAGTAATAAAGAGGAAGGGGTGATCATGCTCACTCACGCTCTGCGCGTTTATACAGCGATCTGTCGTGCCCATAGACTGTATAAAAACATGGATGTAGTGTCCGTGACATCACCCGTAAGTTTCTGAAGAGCGTTTTTGAAGCTCAAAGTTGGCGGAGCCAGCCGTCACCATCTTAGCAGCGCGTCACCGCTCATCACTCCCGGATAATCGAAAATGGGCGAAAAGGCGGGAGCCACGCCCTTAATTATGCAGAACTTTAAGGCTTAATATAATTTAGTTATAAAAAAAATTCACCCCCCTCACAGTTGTCATGAAGGGCAAAATAAGCTATATAAGCTATATACACTTTTTGTACCAGGCTGTAAACATGTTTTTTCTGCTGTAAAGTTGGCCATTTTAACATCTGTAGGACTGACTCCATTTTGGATCCAGCCTCTAGCGGCCAGTTGATGAATTGCAGTTTTAGTCACTTCCGTGTTGGTTTCACAAGAGAGACCGGAAAGGAATTTCCTGAAAAAATGGAACGATTTTCGATACGAATACGTGTACTGTTAAATCCCTAATATATATATATATACATACAGTAAAATGTTGTAAATACTGCTAAATACTGTACCTGAAAAATGTTATTATTTTCTAATAACAAAGATAAAATAATGACAAAGATTTTTACCTTTGCTAACTTTGCCTAAATGTCTGCCATTGTTTTTTATTTTATATTTTAGTGCTGTCAATCGATAAAACAAAATTAACTAATTGATCACACATTTTTTCTGAAATTAATCGTGATTAATAAAAAAAAAAAAATGTATCACCTGCATTAACACGCTATATATATATATATATATATATATATATATATACAAGCATTAGCATATTATTAGATTAGCATTCTTTTAAGGATTAGCATCTACTAATTTATCATTTGTTAAGAACAATGTGGTGAGTCCTTATTTTGTACTCTCTTTGTGCAAAATGGCATATATATTTTCATTAGTCAATCAAATAAATAGAAAAAAAAACTAACTTTTTTCTATCAACGCAAATTACTGTTTTTTTGGGTTTTTTTTTCAATGAACATTATTTTTGACAGCCCTATTATCATAAATCCCTGTGGTCCCCTGTATATTTTTAAGTATATGTGTGTATGTTTAACATCTAGAAAAGGTGTTAATCACATCCCTTGCTTAATGCCCGTGGGAAGGGGAGCAAGTTTGATCTGGGCTTGGATCAAAGCCAGGTGTGAGGCTGTTCCCAGCTGTCATGATGAGTCTCCTCTTCACACACAGTTCCTGATGGGAGCAGACAGCCACCCTTCCTGCACCCCCCAAAGCTAATCACAGTTTCCTTCCTTGCCCCCACCTAAACCTCCATGATTGACAGTCTTCAAGCACTGATGATTCACTTCACGGATGTTCAGGTCTGTGCGGCACACAGAATCAAACGACCACTGTCAGAGTGGGGATATAGGGTTGCAAGAGTAAAGGAAGAAGCAAACAGTGCGTATGTTATAGAATTTAGTGAAAAAAAGACCACGTGTAATTTGATGCAAAACAAAAACAAGGCCTTAAGGCTTATTAGCAGTCAGTATGTAACTGTCAGAATGAAAAATATTTCAACTAATTTAAAAGAACAATAACAAAAATCTTGGAAAAACACTACAGTATGTTGAACTGACTATATGTAATATGCCGTGTCCTTTGAAGTTGATTAAAGCAACTGAAAAGTATGTTGATTATATATACTCCACTATTCAAAAGTTTGGTGTCAGCGAGAGTTTATTTTTAAGTCAATAGTCAGTAATACTGTGAAATATAATATAGTTTTTTTTTTATTACATTTTAAAATGTAATTTATTCTTGTACATTTCTCATTATCAATGTTGAAAACAGTTGTGCTGATTAATGAAGTGTGATTTTTTTTTTTCAGAATTCTTTGCTGAATAGAAAGTCAAGAAGAACAGCATTTATTTGAAATATAATTTTTGCAACATTATAAGTATATTTTCTGTCACTTTTGATCAGTTTTATGCAGCCTTGCTGAATAAAAGTATACATTTCTTTAAAATAAATATTACTGTATATAAAATTCTTATACACACAACACTCTGTATGCTTTTGGTTACAATTTATTTCGATATTCCACTTTAGACATTCTACTAACTATAAGTAACTTTAAAACTACATGTCAAGTGACTAGTAATTAGATTATTAGTAGAGTGTTAAGTTCGGGTTAGTAGAATAAGTTGAACTTTGTACTTTCAAAATTACTTTTAGTCAGTAAAATTTCTATTAAGGGACCATCAAAACACACTATTAGCAGATATTAAGCAGACAGTATACTAGTTGCCGTAGTTGCAACGCTACTTAGGCCTAGAGTTAAAATTTGTAGTTGAAAATTGGACTATCCAAATATGAATTGTTACCATGCTTTTTGTAGCCCGTTTATACCCACAGCATTACCTCATATTTTTCTTATAGTTTCCTAAGGGTGAGGGGGTCACAAAGGAAAGTCCAAATCCAGAGCATGTTTCCATGTCACTGTTGTCACTGTAAAATATCCCCCAATTTTCTCAAACATGGCCCTCTGCCTCTGTAAGTTGTGAAGTGACAGAGAGAGTTATGACACCTCTGCCACTCTTCAGCACTGGCCCCAAGGGACACTGACTCAGCCTGGGGACAGACTGAGCTTGGGATCTCTCTCAGTCGGTCTAACACCTCCCCTTGGGGCCACCATTCAACCACCCTCACAGTCCCAAACTGTAGGCTAAGCGTCCCAATTAGAACAGTCCATTGGGTCTTTGGAGGAAAGCACACCTCCAGCACAGGAGAATCGATGGTCAGATGGTTGCTGAAGTGTTACAATTTACTTGCAAAGCTCAGAGGCCGTGGCCAGCTTCATCATGACGTGCCGGGAACTGTGACCGTAAAGCACAGGCACCCATTACCATGGTGGCAAAGACTTGGCGCATGCAGAAGTTTGAGCTCTCGTCCTAGACTTTTTGACATGGCATGTCAGCTGGAGTTTGTGCGAACAGCCACTGACAGGCACTAACCTCACTTAATGACAAGGAGATGTGTTGACGAGGGAAAACGTGACCATGCATTTTTCATGAGCTCTGCACATCAGTTCAAGAATGTTGCTGTTTTTTTTGTTTTGTTTTTTCCACATGTTCTGGAGTTCTTGTAGCTTAGGTCATATTTATACAGTTCTGTTATCCTTATGTGTCATGCATTTATGTTTGTGTCTCTGACAGACATCTCCGCCACAGAGTTCATGGAACGCCGTAGCAATCTGAAGAGCAAGTACGAGCTGCTTGGCGACTTCCTGTCAGACATGCTGTCTGTGGGGGCAGACGACATCAACATTTTCAGTCTGGTGGAAGTGCGGCACAGGACTCTGGATGTGAGGTTTTCCGTTCACAGCACGCCGTTCCTCAGGGTTGAGAGAGTCCATGGATACCTTGCAGCTCATAAACAAAAGGTAAGGCTTGTCAGAAACACACGGATATGAATATAGTCATATTAGACCTTGTAATTAACCTAGGAATCGCTCTAAAAGCATGCACACTTCAGTGTGGAATAACTGCAAGCTTTAACACAAATTTGACTTGCTTTCACTTATTCATAATTAGATGAGACCTAATGTATTAACCCAGCCCTCTTTGTACCTTTTCAGTCGAATCTAAAGTGTCACTTCTCACTCTTCTTCACTCTCTTTTCATTGATATCACACATAAGCTCCATTTCCTTCTTAGAAAAGACACACTGCTAAAGGTAAAAGAGCTGTGATGTGAATTGGAAAAATTCAAAAGATCTAAATGCATCAGTCTCCTACGCAAAATCATTGATCAGGACCAATTACAAGGCGTAAAGAGGCTTGGAAAATGGCATGGAAATGGTGAGCCGAGATGGTGAAAGTAGTACTGATGGAAGCTAGAGGTTATTAATGATGGGAATTCTAATCCTCTGGAAGAAACTGCTTAAAATGTCCCCTTACCCCTTATTCCATTCAGTTCCCCCAAATTTGACTTGTTCTGTTACTAAAAGTAGTGGGAGAAGAAAGTGAAAAGTGAAAGAGTTAATTACAGATGAACTCACTGATATGGAAAGTGAGTTGCCTGTCTCCACCCATAGTAATTGGAGAAATTCCAAGACATGGAATGGAAAAAAAATAATTTTAATGTAATGAAAATTGCCACGCTTAAGGTACATGCATTGGCAGGGTTTTGAGAGAGATCAGGAGAAGAAACAGCCAGTTCATGCTCATGCACAGAACTGTTGCCTTGGAATCTGATGTGATTGCGTTTTTCTATTTTTGGCCGGTTTGGCGGCTCCATTCACTGTATGCCGGATGTGTCGAGTAGGCTGTGTGATGTTGGCTTACGAGAGAGCTGGAAAAAACGAGTGTGAACAGCAGGAGAGAGACAGAGATGAGCCCCCCTCACATCTGTAACTTTTAAATGATACTTAATGCACTGCCATGATCTCCAGCAGTCCTCTCTCTTCCCCTTGCTTTCCACCTTGCTCCCCTGCCGCCACAACGCACACTTTGAAGAGCTCAGGATTCCCCCGCGGCCGTGCTAGGATGGGGGAAGCGGATTTTTCGGAGCACACTGCTCATTTCCCAGGGGTGCGCCCTTTTATCTCGCCCCCTAACACCCCTTCTGCAATACACACAACTGAAATGACACCCTGTGAAGTGTCAGACGCTTCACAAAAACACACACTGTTGCATCAAGCTCAAACTAAAAAGAAATCTCCCTGTGGTTATAGTGAATCCTGATGAAAGACTAAGAGTGAATGATAAACAGGGAAA